CGACTAACCGTAGAAAAAAGCGACCTACTTCGCAGAAAGCACCCACTACATGCTTACTACTGAGAAATTAGTGTTCTATAAGGCGATTACTAAGCAGCAATCTGCGAGACACTGACGAATGCCGCGAAGCTAACGACACCCGACAAGATCAACGCGCCCGTGTTGTGGGCAAAATATGCCGCCGGCCACATATGCACATCAGAGCCTGGCATCGCTGCGAAATTTTCAACTATTGACAGTCGTGAAGACATCTTCATAACGTATCCCGTACAACAAGCAAATTGGCGTACTGAAGACTTACAAAAATCACGAACCACACACACCGCACAAACCCCGCCGATACATCTCCAACGACAAAGAGCGACGCAACAACCACTACGGTGAACTCTGAAGGTGCCCCGCCACACGCAAGAGGGAAGTTAAATCCGATATTCTGCTAAGTCTGGTCTTTATCCATCACCGAACTAGAGACATTACAATAAAAATAATAGACTCTGGACGCCTGACATACCCGCAGGTCTAGATAGTTGTTAACGGTAGGGCTGAGTTTGCAACTTAATGATTAGCTGTAACTGATCTCGGTGAAGCATGTGAAAGATGAGTTCGCTAAATATCACACCCACCCGTTTTCACTGCTGTTAATATGTCATGCCAAACCTCCACGATCTGTAGTTAACTTTAACAAGGGGTTTAATGCCTACGCTGCACACTAAGGAAGTCTGTTAAGATACAGGCAAGGTCTACGAAGAAAAAAACGTAGCGAGTTAAGGTTCCCGACAAGTATTTGATTTAGCGGGAAACGCTACATCGGGACGCACACTTGAGTTGCTGCAACTATTAGAATGTCTAAGCTATAGAAGTAGTAAGCGATAAAAGATATAAACCCTGCCGGTCGACATTTATTGAGAATTATCGTTTTCTGTGCATCTTGATAAGGTTATTGCGCTTCCAAGCAGCACGGCGAGATCCACCAATTGTCTTGTGGAACTTGTGACCCTTGCCCAGGCCACGCGACTTGTGAGTAGCGGAGGTAAGACCGCGGTCCTCACGATGTTTCTGGTTAGCCTTGCAAATCCAGCGGATGGCAGGGTCACGCCTGATAGCCGGGTGAGCAGGATCAATGCAGATAACTTCGTAGAATTTGTATGTGCTGTCTTCTCCAACCCAGTAGGAGGACAAAACACGTAGGGATCCGCATTTTTTGCCGACTCGGGTCTACAGAATAGATGTTTTAAAATGGTTTTACCTCGGCGGTGGCTTGAATGGAACGCTGGTGCTTTAACTGGTTAACACCCTCGTTGGTGGGCTTGCCGTAGGTCGCACCCTTGGGAACCGGGCGTTTGCGACCACCACGACGGACGCGAGTCCTGTAGATGACGTATCCTTGCTTAGCCTTGTAGCCCAAACGCCTTGCCCTGTCCGGTCGTGACGGCCTTGTAACGCGCACGACTTTCTTAGTCTGCCGATATTCCCAGCACCGCATGCGGAGCAGGTAACGCATAACATCCGACTGCTTGTGCCGGTAAAGCTCTTGCATGAATTTGTAAGCCCCCATTGTGTGCCTACAACAAAGAGATGAGAGAAATCCAAATGCAATCATCAGTAATTTGGTTATTAATTT